AAGATGCTCATGATACCATTTGAAGTAATGGGGGGGAAGGAAACCGGCAGCGGGTATATGTCAATATAATTTCAGTACGAACTCCACTATTAAAAATTTAATTCCCCCTTCCCCCTGCATGAACGTCACCCCGCGAACTTTTCTTCCTGGGAGTTTAACCTATAAAATCAGGAATCCTAAGGTGGCTAGCTCTGAACCCAAATAAATAAAGTGTTCAATAAGAAATGGTGTTGGGTGGGGCGTGGAAGACGCGAATTCAGAAGCGCTGCGCGCCTAGGCTGTGAGCTGATCTGTCCAGGAAAGGCTTCTCCCGGCGCGGCGGACCAGTCTCGGAGGGGCAGAGGCGAGCGGCGGAGCCGGGCGAGGGACCTTGCACCGCCCAGCCGCGAAGGGAGAGAACCCGCACGCTCGCCTGTTACTCCAGCGCCTTCTCCACGCCTCACAAGGGCCTGTGAAGCGCGCGGGGGACGGTGGATGACGGTGCAAAACACAGCACACTCCGCCTCCCTTCCATCACATTCCAAACGCTGGGCATTAGGGTTTTCCCAATTCCCTGTCCTCCTCACTGCCTTCAGCAGTTCGCTCCATCTACGGGATGCAGGGGGTTAGAATTGTTTCCTTTTTCCTGGGGGCTTCTATTGTGCCACCGCGCCAGGGCCAGCGTAAAACACAGAACATCTTCATAACCCTGCCCACCTCCCGGGAGCCACTGCCACGCGCTCTCCCAGCCCCGCGCATCCGCAGGGCGTCCGATTTAGCCACCGTCCGACCTGAGCGACAAAAGGGCTTTTGGCAGCCGAGCACAACCATCCTCGCCAGCCTATGACGAATTCAGATCTAGCCTACCCCCTCACTCCCCTTCACACAAGGTCACTCACCAAAGACGCGGCCACCGCGGAAGGTCGTTTTGACTTGGCAGGCGAGAGCGTTGCGCATGTCCAGCAGGCACCACACTTGGCTCATCCTCGGGGTCCCGGCCTGGCACCTTCGAGGCCTGCGCTGGCGAAGGGGCGCACGTACCACTGAGGAACGGTGTTCCTCGCCCCGGACTCTACCTCAGGCATACACTTTGGCTTCTCGCCCAGCGCACCCCACACCCTTGCCGGGCAGTCCAAGCTCCGGCCTGCGCCCTGGCTGGTTCTTGCCCCGCGCAAGCACAGTCTCCCCACTGGCTTCAAACTCATCGCTTTTTCTCCATTACTTAAACGTTTGTCAGTGAAGAGTCACTTCCTCCGTTTTGACCCTGTGTTTCCCTATTGGGGATTGGAGGTGGGTGGAGGGGTGATGTCAGGATTAAAATCTTGGGAGTCTTATCCTGAGCGCACAAGCCATAAACTGGCAGATTAATTCGCGTGAACAGTTGATCTCGGTAATTCGGGAGAAGAAAGTGCCCTGGGGCCACTGCACGGGCTTTGCCTGTCTCATTTAACTAGGGATTGCGCAGATAGGTGCACGGGACGCGCGAGCCTGACATATGTGCACGTGTGCGCGGAGTACAGATCTGCCCGCATGTTCGTGAGTGTGCCTGCTTTGTGTGCCCACCCGCGTACGCCGCCACCTTCTTAGGCCTCTGAGCGCCGCGGCTGCAAGCCTCAGGGCCGCAGGCCCTGGAGGGGGAAATCCTTTCGCAGAAGGTTTGAATTATTTCGCTCCGCGGGAGACCGGACCTCGGCCGCACTCGGCTGTGGATTTGGGCGGGAAAGGCCCAAACTCCAAACCCGAGCTGGGGAAGCCGGGTGGAGCCGGGGCTGGGGTCCGAGCGCAGATGGCGCCGCCGCGTGCCTGAAATGTACTTCCAAGGCCGCAGCCGGAGCAGCTGTTCCGGGCGATCTTGGCTCAAAAGTGTTCCTGTTGCTGCTTGGTGAGAGGCGGGGGCAAGCAGGCCCGAGAGTCAGGCTCCTCGGAGACCCTCCCGAGCCCGCGGCGGCTGCGTCCTGGCGGCTTCTCCAAAAGACGCGGAGTTCTGGCAATAATGAGGGCACCTCACAGGCCCTTCTCCAAGGCCCTTTGGGCCTCGGGGTTTTTCGGGACCAGCAGGCTCGGTGGAAAATTTTGAAATACATACTGTGTGTCCTCTGATGTGTGAGTTCCTACAGCGCGCAGGCTGGGCTGGTCCCCCGCTGCTGCAGGTTGACGCCCCAGGCTGCGGGCGCCCGGCGCCAACTAAAGCCAGCTCTGTCCGGACGCGGAAAGAAAAACGGACTGTGAAAAAGCAAAAGGCCACGTCTTTGAATAAAAGTTAAACATTAAAATCTAACCTTTGGGTTGTCTCAGAATCCTGGGATTTTAAGGCACGGACAGGGAGGGCTGGAAACGGAGGTACCAGTCAGGGAGGGAATGGTGAAAATGATAAACACAGTTGCTTTACGCGGGTGTCCTGTGTCTGTTTGCGTGTTTGTTTAATCCTTCCCCAAGCTCCGTGGCAATTTTGTTTCTGTTGTCGTTCCCCCCCCCCCCCATTCCTGACTTCTTATCATCGGCCTAGAGCAGGCGAGCCACGCGGCGGGTCCAGCCTGCTCTCGATCCTAATCCGGGAAGAGAGTTTAAACAATTTGAGGCCAAGGACGGCAGAGACCTGGCCCGGGGCACAATGGAGTCGCCCGTGCCCCTCCCCGACCTCCACCACCATATACACACCTTTAAAGATGTGTGTTCATTAGGGCGCCGAATTAGAGGAAAAAGAAAGGCCTACAGGGAACCCCAATCCCTGGACTCGCCTACCGCAGAGCCGGCAGCTCCGCCTCCTCGACTCTGGGGACTGCGGAGGCTCCACGCCACCAAGCAGTTTTTCTGAAAGCTCTTTTCTCTTTCTATGTCCGGTTCGTAAGAAAGCTTTGGCCACTGCGGGGGCTCCAACTTGGAGATCCCCTCGGTGCACGACGCAGCCAGGCCGGGCTGCTAGTCCGGCCCCGCAGAAGGCCCGCGAGTACTCTCGGCTTTCAGCTTCTTCCTCCTCCCGGCCTCAACCCCACAAACATACTTCGTTTTCTCCAATCCAAACGCCCATCTTTTTCTTAAAAAAAAAAAAATTAAAAATGATGAAATGGGAAGGGGTCAACTGAACTCTGTGTGACATAAAGTCCTATGTTAGGTCCTCACCTCCTACCCCCATACTGTGGGAGCAAGAGAACAGCATTTTGGACAACAGGTCCTCGCGTTTATGTCTCTGGAATGGTCTCTTCTTGCCCCAACCATTTCTCTCCTCACTATGGCTGATGTAAACGCCGGAAAGAGAAAACTGCAAGCTGAGTCTCTGATCATGACCCCACGTATTGGTCCTTTTGAACAAGCGACCCTAGACCAGCTCCGGCGGACCTGGACCCCTCCCTAGAGAAAAGTACCCGCGGACAGGATGTCTGCCACGCGCAGTTAAGCAACTTCTGTCTTTTCCACTGTCGGGAAAGTAAAATAACCTCCCAAACCATGAGTTGTCATGAGGCCTGAAAGAACTCCCACTAAACCGTGTGAAGGCACAAGTGAGATTTCCACAACATATAAATGCGGTGAGGAAACAGGATCTGGCCAGAGATGGGAAACACACATTAGCCACGCGTTCCTTTCTGGATTGCCCACACAGGGGTCCGCGTGGACAGGCACCCGCATCCAAATCAGGGAAAGATTTGAGCGGACGAAATAAATCTCCTTTTAATTTTCTTTTCATCGACTAATAAAAATAATTCCCCAGCACTAAACTCAAATACCGTAACGGGCCACAAGAACACGGAGAATTCATAAAACTCTGTCTCTGCAAGTCACCCGCTAATCGCGTTATTATTAGCCTCAGGAGCATGGAAATTGAACTGTCATTGCCGAAAGAGAAAATGTAAGCGACAGCTGTCCCTCCCTGGGTCGGCCAGTTCTCCAGCCCCCAAGCCCCTGGGCCCCAAGCTCAGTCCCCAAGTTCTTCGGCCCGTGGCCGTCCCCAGCCCTTTGCGGGCCGCCGCCACCACCCTGGCTTTCCGCTCCTGGCGCGCTGACCCAGGTTTACTCCCTAACCCTAGCTGGTCAGCAGGAGCACCTCCAGAATGGCAGCAGAAGTCCTGGCTGGAAAGTTTCTGAAACCGCTAAACCAAGCCGCGACCGTGCGTGCGTGTGGGTGTGTGTGTGTGTGTGTGTGTGTGTGTGTGTGTACGCGCGCGCCGCGCGCGCGCAAGATTCTTCCGACAACAGCTGTTCCCCCGGGCTGTTTTGCACAGTTGAAATCTTGGCACTTAATATAAAACGTTAAGTTGTCCCCCCCCTTCAACTACCCTCCCAGGTTTCTGCTAAAATACAGACACCAACATCCGCTCTGTGTTTTACGTGTTGTGTGCATATAATGTGCATAGATCTGAGACACAAATTAATCGCTCCGCTCCCCTCCAGTACACAGAGATGTGGGCCCTGAAGAGTGACCCAGGGCGCAGGGTAAGGGGTCTAACATACAACTTTTTTCCATAAACGCCAACGAAGTAGAAATATAATTATGCTCCGTCGTCCCCGGAGTAGGGGAAACACAAGAACTTGAGTCCCAGAAAAGTTGGTGGGGGAAGGGCGAGGACCGAGGTCGAAGGCTAAATGGGACAAACTGGGCATTTCCCAAGACTGGGTGTCGAGCCCGAGAATTCAGCGCCAGTCCTCTGGAGCTCTCAGAAGCGAATCCCAGCCCCTCTCCGCTCCTGCGGTCGCCTTCGATCTGCGCCCCTCCTTAACCCCAGGGGCCTGCGGCCGCACAGCTGTGGACACCAGAACAGTGCGCTCCGCTCCCAGAAGAAAAAGGGATGCAAGCGAGGCCTCCTTGCCTGAGGTTGGCGACGAAAATGCAAGGCTCAGTTCCCCTCAAATTGTTTGCCGCGAATTTGGGGAAGGCTCAAGATATTTGCGCCAAGAAAAGGAAACCCGCGTTGGAGCAAGGCAGGGCGTCAGCGAGCAGGGCCTCCTTCCACACCACTCCGCCCGCGGGCTGGCCGCCCGGTGTCCCCTCTCCGCCCGCCTCCCTCGGTCTGGTCCTGCGCACTCACCCGGGTGAGGCTCCAGGCCCTGTGCGGCCGCGTCCTCCGTGTCTCCAAGTGGGCCCGCGGGGCTCAGCGCCTCCATGGACAGGTCCAACCCCTTCTCCTCCCAGTCTCGCAGTTTCCGCTTTTTATTTGAGCCGATCAAGGCTTCAACGGAGAAGGCATGTGCTCGCGAGCTCAGGGCGACTGCAGATCTTCTCCTTTCACTCATCTTAGCCGCCCGCACCCCGGCCTCCGCTCGCCCCCGCTACTGAGGGAGCAGCCCGCGCCCTCACGCTCGGAGCGCCCTCCCGGCCAGGCCCGGGAGAGGCAGCGGCGCGGCGGCCGAGACAGGCGGCGGCGCTGCGGGTCCTCGGCACCCTCCCCCTGCGTCCTCCCCCGCCCTCCGCAGTCGGCTCCTACCGGCGCCCCTAGCTGCCCCAGCCGCTAGGAACGAGCGCCCGGAGCGCCGCCCGCTCGCTGCATGAGCGCCCGAGTCCTGCTTCCCACCCACCGGGGCAGGCGCTCACAGGCTGTGCAGACTGGACTTCATCTTTTTTTTATTCTCTCTCCTCCCTCTCCCTTTCTCTCCTCCCTCTCCCTCTTCCTCTCTTGGTCTTCCCGTCCTTCCTCTGATCCAAACTTCTGGGAAACTTTTTTTCTAAATTCCTCCCTTCCCGAGGAGCTGGGGGCAGGCGGTGCGCTCCTGTCCGTGGGGTGAGGGAGAGGGAGGGGGAGGAAGAGAAAGACTGAGGGGGAAAAAAGCCAGCCCCCGACCAATGGCGAGGAGGGAACAGGAGAAACCCTGAGAGCGCGGGCCAATGAGAGGAGGGGAGAGACCGAGGCTCGGGCCAAGGCTCCGCGCGGGTAGTCCGGGGGATGCTCCTGGGCCGACTTTAACCCCTGGCTTCCCGGTTCCCCACGGGTTCTTCATAGGGGAGGGAGGAGGGCCGAAAGTCGAGGTCTGATCTTCGCCGTTCCAAACTCCTGCCGGTCCCAAATCCGTACCTTTCCCTTCCAAATCTGCTAAGTCTCATAGACGCAGCAAGCCCAGTCATTTTAATTACCGATCTGGAGTCTGGGGGCTCTCAACCTCTCCAAAAACGCCCGAAAACGACTCCGATAATCTCGCGCCTGCCCCCAGACGCTATTAGCTCTTCTGGTTCCGCCGGGATTTCGCCACACAGGTTACTTTCCTGTGGTACGATGTCTAAGCAACTCTGGCTAAGGCAAAACGAAAGAAATAAACAAAGACGCCCGGTTACTATCCAGGGTCTTGTAATTGTAAATCTAATGATCGCTTCCTCCTTCCAGTTCTACCTGGTGGAGGAGACGCAGGCTCGGCTCCCTCAAAGCAAGAGGCCGGCGGTGGGGCTCCCGGCTTACCGCGCGCTCCGCAGACTTGTTCCGTCTGCGCCCGCACGCAGCAAACGCTCGCCTTCCCTTCCGCGTGGATGCTGATCTGAGCGTTGCCTGCTCGGGGCGCCTGTTCTGGAGAACCCACAGAGAAGGGGTGGGCAAGGGCAGCCAGTAACTCTGACAGCGGAAGAACTTTTTCAGAATGCCCTTCAAATCTGATCACCTCGGGAACCCGGCTCTCTCCACTCGCTGATCCTCCTTCCACTCTTAAAAAAAAAAAAAAAATCTTTTAGGACAGAGCGGTCGTCAGGGATTTCTCTGGAACTTACAATCCCGCACTCTGGCCATTCTCATTTCCCACACCCCCTCCTGGGTCACGCTACTGGTCATGGGCCGCAGGAGACCGCGACCGCAGCCCAACGCAGAGCCAGTTCAGAGGGGCCGAGAAGTTGATCCTGCGAAGCAGGAAAAAAAAGGTCCCGGATTTCGCGGACGACGGCCTAACCACAACCTGATCTTCCCATCCCAAAGCCCTGGTCGACACTCTTCCATCCCCGCGCGAAGAGGCAGGAAAGAGCCAGCTCCCCGGGTGCCACGGACAGACAGAGAAGCTCGGCAGACACGTCTCGCCGACAGCCAGGCCCTGAACAGGGTCAGTAAGCCTAGGGCAGAGGGGCCCACGGCCAGTCACAGGCCCCCCAAGAACAAGCGCCCATCTGCCCTTCCACCCTGTCGGGCCTCTGAAAGGCCACACATTCGCCTCCCAACCGCAGGGTAAATCTAGTCCTTGATATTATAGTTGGAAGTTCTCCGGTGCTGGAGGCAACCGCTGAGGGTCATGAATGCACCTAGGGCCTCTTCGGAAGAAAGCAAAAAAGAACACTTTTGGAGCGCCCTCACATTGGGCATCAGCCAGACAGGAGGAAGCTAGTGGCGCAGCAAATGCAGAAAGAGTGATGGAAGCCACCGGTTGAGTGCGAGTCAGCCAGGCCTCTCTCAGGCTTGGAGATCCCGGAGCAGCACTCCAAGCACCCTGGGACCTAGAAGTCGGCAACAAAGCCCCTCTGCGTCTCCCGCCTGGCTGCAGGGCAAACTCCAGGAGCCTGGGTGGCAAGGCGCACGGTTTCCCACCTCAGTCACCGCTTGGCGTGGCTGCCAGGAGCCGCGGCAGAAAGTGACAGCTCAATCACCACAATGGGGCCTCAGCAAAAGAGTTGGAGACAAGGGCAGGCCAGGAGCACCCAGCCACCTTCTCCTGCGGCTTAGATCTCTTTTGGCTCCTGATTCTGGTGTCACTGCCCAGAACTGGGGCCTGTTGGGACCAGACCAAGTGGGATAGCAGTGACGGGGCCAGCCTCTCTTCCTTACCAACATTTTCCTCCTCCCCATTGCCTGTATCTCCCATCTCCCTCTGGCAGCCTCTTGCCTTGGCCTTCCGTCACAGACCTAGTTGGGATTGCAAGTAGATGCATCATAGGACATACACCCTCCCTAGGGCTGCAAAAGTTCCTCAAAAAGAGAACTTTTGGTTTACCCACATACCAAGATGCAGGTCCAGAAAGCCCACACAATGTAGGTGACCATACACACAGATTGGAGAGACATGCATAGAAAAGATAGCCCTGCCTTCAACAGCATGCATCTGCACCTCACCCCCAAACATACACACTGCATAGAGTTCTCAGAGGAGCTCCTACACCCTTCCTTCAGTTCACACATAAGTTGCCCCCACCTCCATCCCATATACACATATATCTTAGAATTGTGAATTAGGCCATTAAACAAATCAGAGGGTCATGAAGCCAGGTTGCTTTGGATCAGTCATGAAAATAGGAGTTTTCCTCTAGGTAAGTGGGAGGGCCAGGGATATTTTCTTTTTGTGACTGTAGGGGTCAATCTAAATTTCCCCCACCCCCAGGGGCCTGCATTCCTTGGTTCGTGACCCTATACTGATGGGAAGGGAGATCTGGAGAAAGATTAAGCAGGATGGTTTAATGGCTGTGACTTAAGTGTATAATTCTATGTGATTGGGAGAAGAAGAAAAATGGGACTGGGGGATTCAATGTAGAAATCTGGGAGTGTGCTATGCATTTTCCTCCACTCATATCAAAGAGTTTTCAAAATCTCATGACCCAGTTTCTCTTTCCTTTAACCTTTAGGAATAAAAGTGGGATGCCCAATGCATGAAGCTAATTCCTGAGGCAATCCCCAGATCTCCCAGCCACCAACCTTAGGTCTTGGGTGGAGTCTAAGGCCTGACTCCACCTCAGGCCTGACACTGATGGGAAAGGAACAAGCTGGAGCCAGACCTCCCCCCACATCCCGCCATGCCCCCCTGCAGGGTCCCAGAAAGGAAGAGAAGGTTATTAAGCACCTGAGAAGTCAGAAGGGATCAGGGGAAAGTGGAAGAGAGGACCCCACTGACTACCTGTAGGGACCTATGGAAAATGGATGACCAGTCCTAACCTTGACAGGAGGAACGCCCAGAAGCAAAGAACAGCATAATGACTACTCACCTAAAACTGGCCATGTCCAAATATTTTGATTTTTCAAAGGAACAACAGAGTTCTGCAGCGTAAGGACGAAAGTCCTGGAAACACAAATCCCTACATCCCCCACATACCAGTCTTCCTTCTGTTTCTCCACACTAAATACCACCACCACTGCTAATGCCTCAATACAAGGTGATCTACCAGATGCTGGGACTTTGCAGTTTTGAGTAATTGAAAACAAAGTTAAAAATCGTTGCCAGCAGGACACGTTAGTCTGCCCTTAAACACGTGGGCAGGACACCAGGTGGGGGTGAGGCAATTACAACGAATTCAGCCTGTCTAGGCATTAGATATAAAACATTATGAGGCGACTATGGGGTGGGAGGTAACCCTCTGGACTCCAAGGCAGGTGAAGCCTAGCGAACAGGTCCCCTTCAGCATTTAACTGTGTGACCTTAGGCAAGTCAGTGCGTGGCCTGTGCCTCAGTCTCCCCTCCGGCAGAGCGAAGGAGCCCTAAATACTTTACAACTAAGCAAAGCAGGCAAGATAATGGGTCGGAGGCGGAACAGACCTTAGGCTTTATTGTTGCTGTGATCGAATCTTCTGGGAATATGAGGCCAGGGTACCCACTTTTCACTTCTTCTTCCACATTGGCGCCCAGTTATGGGGTGGCAAAACTGGCCTGGAGCCCTCGGGTGGGCGTGGGAGGGAGCCGATTTCTGGAAACGCCCGCCCGATGCCAGCCCCGCGGAGACTGCGCAGGCCCACTCTGGCAGCCCGCATCTCGAGTCTCCGGGTTGGTTCAGGTTGCCGGGCGCTTCGCGATGGCGTGCGTCGTTGACTGTTCAACCACCCCCTCACACTTTTTAAAATAAATGTCCGTGGGGGCAAAAGGGTCTTTAATGATGTTTTTTTGTTTTCGCGAAATAAAATCTTTTGTTTTTATTTTAAACCAGCAGCGTGCCCACCTCTTGGTCCTTCCAGATGTTTGCAATAAAATCGCAGGTTTTGCCTTTGGGACTGGAAATAAAATTTAACGGCCTTCACCCTGTAATTATTCTCTTAGCTCGCCCTTCATAAATTTATCTGCTTTCTATCGGCGTTGGGGTAGGGGGCGAGCGAAAGGGGAGAAAGCCCCGATTTTATATTTGTGACTATAAAAAAGCGCCACCCGGTTGCTTCGCCTTCGGCGGCCGGGTGTAACCCGGAGAGCCTGGCCCGGCGGGCGGCAACATTGCGCTATTGTTCGCTGCCCTCGTTCTGCGCGGGAGCTGGGCCCCTCCACAAAGGGGGCCTTGTGCGGCCATGCCCGGAGCGGCCGCGCCCAGGAGACGAGGAAATCCTGTCCCCCCAGGCCCAGCGCCTCTTTTCCCTGAGCGTATCGTGCAAGCCGGCAGCCG